AAAAAGCACAAGATATATTATTATTATATTATTATTGTTATTATAGCAGCAAATAAACAAATATTTTTTTTGTTGTAGCATTATTAATATTATTGTTATGGTTATATAATTCAACAAGAGTTTTTTTTGTTTGCTTTGTAGGAAGTTGTACTCCTTTATTTCTTAATATTTGTTTTAATTCTTTAATTGTTTTTCATGCCATAATAGTAATAAACAAATATATAAACAATAAACTTGAATGCAACAATGTAATTAATGCTTGCTTTCCAACCAAATTTAAATGTTTGTTAATATCTGGAATAGTAATTTTATCAGATACTATAGAAGAATTATTAATTTATAATCTTGGCCTTCTAAATGTACCTTTCTCCTCTTATCTTTATGCTCATTGCTAGACATCCATTTTTTGTAAGGTGATTTGCTTAAGTGTAGCTATATATTAAATTATATATTAAATATGTGAAATTTCTAACTGCAAAAGAGATTTCTATATCTAACATCTGAATTACTTAAATTTTACTGAATTACTTTGACAATCTATAAAATAGAAGGTGGGAAGTCAGATATATTGTTGATATTGTTATACAATTGATTTTGGTGGGATATAATTGAATTAAAGTCAGTTGATGGGTCAGTTTGTATATAAAACATATAAAGCATATGGTGTAATTAATGCCGATCATTTCTCAAAATTGAATACAAGGATCATTTCCATATTAGGAAAGAACAGACAATAAAATTATTATGTCGTGTGTCAAAAAAATTTTCTTTCAAAACATTCCTTTATTTTTCATTTTTGGCACAAGCTGCTTGCACTATTGATTTATTCTTTGGAGATTTTATGAAAAAGTCCAGGATGTTAATGGGTGGAACTTATTCCTGGTTGATACGAAGTATAGTAGTATAATTACCCCACATAATTTTGAAAAAGTTTATTTTTTTGGTACAAGTCAGTTAACTTGCACAATTCCATCTTTAAAGAGTTGATGAGAAAGTCCAGGACTGCAAAAGGGCGGCACTAGTCCTGGTTATAACAAAGTAAAGTAGTATAATCACTCTTCGTAAATTCAGAAAGTTGGAAGTTTCATTATTCAGGATGCTGAGAATACGATGACAAGTAGTGAAATCCGTCCCTTGTTTGCTTGCCCCTATATGTGTGTGCAATAGAGTTGGAATTGACGAGACATCTTGTCGGTTAGGTGTTGAGGAGTCGGTTTTGATTTTATGTATGCTCTGGGGAACTGGGAAATGTGTGATGACAAAATTTATGTCAAAGAAAATTTCAAAAAAATTTTGTATATATTTTGTATATTTTCACGTACAAACAGTGTTTAGGATAGTCAGCACATTATATATAAATTATATATATAATACTTATATTAGATTAACACAATTTTGATGAAAATTAATCTAATAAACAGTTTTTTTTGAAAGTAAAATCAACATTACTCGCAGCACCAAGTGGTAATCAACTGATAATATGTTCATCCATTTATACCACTTACAGTACACAAGAAATTAATGGCAGGAGTATTATAAATGTTGGTTGTTAACTTTAAATTTTATTTATGCATGGTCTTGGTATTATTTATTTACTGAGGTGATGCAATTGTTTGTTATATCAAATTCATTGCATAAATAATGTAATGGGCATAATATAACATTGGAGACAAATATGTTCACATTCAAGGAAAAGATTAAATAAAAACAAAAAGATAAGAATGTTTATTTATTTTGATCAAATAAAGAGAAAAATATAATGATTTTAATTATATTTATAAATATTAAAATATAAAGGTTACTTATTCATAACAGTATATGGTATAGAAGACAAAGGACCACCGGAACAATCAATTGCAAGGGAAGCCATTGGTGAGCATTACCATCTTTGATCATTCTATCCTGTATTTTCATTATTCTTTTCTTTATTGATTCTCTATTATTTTCTGATATACAGTTCATGGATCTTTTTATAATAGATCTTGCTTATCATGGATTGAGAATTTAAGCCTAATTTATATGTCCCATTTCCATTCTACCAAATAAAACATTTGGCTACAACTCTCTTTTTTACCAAACAATTTTAAATTTCTCTTGGGTATTTTGATCACAGAAAATTCACTTGTGAAGGTAAGCATTTTTGTTAAGTGTTTAATTTGTGATTTTATTTCTTAAATCAATAACAAAACCATCACCTCCATCCATTAATATATTACCATTGGTGTAAATTCATTTTACAAGATAAATCGGAACTTCTAGTGACAATTTCGGAGATTAGTTCACGGAAAAATAATCCAAGAAAGATTTCCTTGAAGATCAGCAGTAAAGTAGAAGAAGGTATGAACAGAGACGTTAATTCAAGTCATCTAATTTATAATAACAACACTTAGCATTATCCAATGTCTAATATGTTTATTTATAACAAAATTGTCACTGATTAAAGGTGACAATAAAACAATGAATCAAACTGATAAATTTTTTTTTATTTAAAAAAAAAGAGAATATGACATATATAGAAGAGAAGAAATTTCAATGGAATGGAATTGTGCAAATAGAGGAAAAATACATGATTGTGAAGAATTAATCCCCTAATTTATTAATAATCCAGCTCTTCGTACATAAACATGCTCTTGCAGTCTCTGGCAACAAATGATTTCAAGTTTCACGAATTGTATTTCCGGCAATTGAGAATGCCTGCTCTGATGCAACACTAGCTTACAGATGAATGGATACTAATCCAGTTAAACGTCCAACTGTTGTAGAATTTTTAATATTATTGATGTTTGGTACAGAGCATCTGGCATTTCGTTGAATGAATTATGGAAGATGTCCTCAGATGATCCAAATTTGATTCATACAAAAGAGTAATGTTTTAAATGTAAAATGTAAAACAAGTTTAAATAAAAATTATTGTTACAAAAGTCTCTGTGAAAATGGTTATATTTTTCTCTCCAACTTTTTTTTTTCAATTTTTCTTTTCATCAACTTTTTCCTCTTTTTCCTTTTCGTCAATATGCAATTACATTTTGTCAACAAAATCAATGTTTTCTAAACGTGGCATGGTGTTTTGATTGGTCAATTTAATTCTCACATAAAACACACAATATACATAATAAATAGCAACAATCTTATTTTTATTTAATTAACTAATACATGCATGCGTATATATACTTTTACATCAGTAAGGATCTTTTGGCCATTTGTTTAAACGTCCATACTCTTCTAACATTGATTAGTCAATGATGAATGATTTTGCGTCCAACGAATTTATATGAGCATCATTCCAAAGATAGTCACCTCTTTTAAATACATTTCAAATGTATATATGACATTGATTAGATATATTTCAGAAAATCAGCTTCAAAATAATTTTTGTCAAGTAGATGATTAACACTCATGCTCCTATTGTCCAAGGAAACCATTTTGGGACAATCAAATTTTTGCAAAAGGTGACCAATCGAGTCCTTTTTGTAAGTGTGCAGTGGCTATACATGCAACGAAAGTAAATTATGCAAAATAGTCATGCTCATGCTATGATGCAAATATACAAGAAAACGTTTATTTCATTATATAATCAATTTCAAACAAAATGTTCCAACGTTTGTGGTTTTATTTTTATCAATGATCTAGTTGAATTAGAAACTGATTAATTTTTCAAACTTATTAATTTCATAATAATAATAATATTTAGATATCACATGCAATCAAAAGATTTATGAGTTTGGAAAATGATGTGGCAACAGGCTAAGATATTGAAAAAGCCATTGATAATAAGATTCAAGGAACATCAGTTGCACATATTGAGCAAAAGAGGAATGTTGAAAAAATTGTAGATACAATTGCTGGAGTATCTAATTGGTATTCTTGGAAGTGGCCAATTGACGAGGATTTATATTTGCTTGTGAGTTACCTAATGTAGGTGATTGGACTAATTTTTCACCCACAAAAATAAATGGTTTAATTAAACAGCAATTCACAAAACCTGAACCAATGTTTACACCACATCTTATGCCAAAGAAGAAATGAATTATACCAATTCCTGATGCAACTGGTAAATAAATATAATATCTAGAAACCATCCGAAATTGGACATGCAGATATTCATCTGCAATGAAAAAAGATATCATTGAAAAAAAGTAATGTTAATGATAATAGTAGATAAAAAATTGACAAAATAGACTATTTTTACATTTATATTCAATAATAAAAACAATTTCTCATAATAAATATTCAAAATATTTAAAAAAACTTACATTTATAAATAATTGGTCTTGCTTCACCTCATTCATGGACTGTTTTAATAAATTTTTTTTTTATATAAAATTTGCGAAACAATGAATGACATAATAAAAATTCTTTGAAATCTACGGTTACTAAATAGCAGTCCAAAGCTTGTAAAGAAAACAATAATAAAAATTTGCATCGTATGATTTAATATTCTGTGTAATACTAGTAAAAAAAATTTGGAAGTTGGTCATTGTAACAGTGATTACTAATTGTGTTGCGGATCACGAATTAATCATTAATCATATATCAAGTAAATAAAGCTATATATACCAAAGATACCAAGCTAATAAAACAATTTTAAATCTATAGCAAAATAAATTATGGTTTTGAATTTTGTAGGCAACCAAGTATATGTGACAACCAAGTGGATAAGCTTTCGAATATTTCACTTAAAACATTCAGCTCTAAGATTTTCTTTTCTTTCATTATTAAAGGCAAGAAAAATATATTGTAAAATACAGGGTATAAAACAATGTTCAATTCGAAATTTTATTAATAAATTTTCAAATGAATGTGTTCTATCATGATGATTACCAAAAAAAAAAGCCCAATAATAAAATATAAATAAAGAGAGTGTATTGTGCTTAACGATTTAAGTATTTAATCAACTATAAATAGAATAATAAATACATTTTCTTCTTTGCGTATGATTATTTAATATTGCTTAATAAAAAAAAATAAAAAATATATAAATAGCAATAATAAAATGATAATTATTTTCTATTTTGATCATCAATATGTCTTAACATATTGATGACTTGTTCCAACTCAAAAATATGTTGACTAATCTTCATCCTATGGTCTTTAATTGCTGTGATATGATGGATCATCAATGAAAAGAGGTCATTATTGTTGTTTCCACAATTTAATGTAGAAACATTTAAATCGCGATTACATTTATGACAATTATTATTAATATCATCATTAGGTGAAGGTGAAGGTGAAGACGATATATGTGAGCTACTTTTAACATAAACTAACTGGCAAGGTTGTTGCTGTTGTTGTTGTGGTGGTGGTGGTGGTGGTGGTGGTAAAGATTGCGCTGATAGCATGTTATTGACACTAGTCACTTTTTGAAATGGTGGACTTGTTTCAATAACTGGCAATGCAATAATTTCTTGATTAATTTGTTGCTGTTCGGAATTTTGAACATGCACGTAATTATCGTAATTTTGTACTTGCTGATCATAATAATAATTTTGGGACATTTTTGATGGAATAGTATGATTATTTTAGATGGCTGGGTTGATGTCCTCACCAAGTAACAAGATATTATTATATTATTATTCTTTAATAATACTGATAATATTAATTTATTAATATTAAATAATTATCAAACACGGATAAGTGAATTATTTTATTTTATTATACAATATTATTAAGCTAGTTTATTGTAATTTATTGATTTATAATTTTTAAATAGTTTTACAAGTATTGTAAAATATAAAGTAGAATTTATCCTATAAAGAAATAAAGAAGGGTTTATTACGTTCATATTTATACGTTTTGATTCACTTTTATTTCTATTGTGTTACAAGAATCGGAGTTTTTCTGTCAGTCTGTCAGTGTTTCCCGCTTTTATTCCTTGTGTTAACTAGACCTGTATACAAACTGGTGTGTAATGTTACACCCCGCATTATAAGGAATAAAAAAGTTTGCTCGTGATTTGAGCATAGTGGAAATTTACAGAAAAATTGTTATTTTTCATAGGCGCTATCTTTCGGCACTTTACGATATTAATCCTTATGGGTAGTTTTCCAAAGTATTTATAATATTTCCAAAGAATATGTTTTAAATATAAGTTTTTAATTTAATAATTTATTGTTTTTTTGAGCTTTGACAAAAAAGTGTTTTAACAATGTTGGTGAGTTAAAAAGAATTTTGAACGTGTTAGTTTAAGAAATTCTTTCTTCCATAAAGGAAGGATAATATTTTTTATTGATTTGATTTGGCGCAGTGTTGGAAAAGGTATGTTAGATGATTATAAAATGTTGCACGAATTATTTGTATTGTTTAATATTTAAACTACTCAAACCAGCCTAAGTGTACAAGTGTAATAATCAACGGTCGTTCGAAGGGAGTCATGCAATGGTAATTTTCATGTTACAATATTTTGAATTACACGACCAAGTTGAACTCGCCACCAAAATATTTTGAATTACATGATCAAGTTGAACTCTCCAAAAAAAAATAATTCCACATTTTTGTTACACGAATTTTATTTTTAGTCCCAATTTCTTAAGTTACATTAGTCATTTTTTTAATGATGCAATAAAATGCAATAATTTCGTGATCAAGATTTGAGTTTGTTGAGTTGTTGAATTTATTGTTGAAAATTTTGTTGGGTTTGATTATTAATTTGTTGACGTTCTCGTGTATAAATTTGTTGCTGTTCGGAATTTTGAACCTGTTGCTGTTAAATATTTTGACGCACGTGATGTCGAAGTTGTCGATCGTAGTATTGTTGTTGGGGTTGTTGCTAAAGTTGTTGAACAGAATTTTCATCACAATAATAATTTTGTTGCTGTTCATCAAGAATTTGTTGTTGTTGAGGAATTTTTGGTAAGAATGGTGTAGATTTTTGAGTTGATGCATCGTCACTAATTATTTGCCGTCTTCAAATAACAAAAGATTATTATATTATTAATGCTTTTAATAATACTGTTTATTAAACACGACTAACTTATTATACAATATTATTAATATTAATATTATTAATCCTTTTAAATCCTTACGGATATTTTTCCAAAGTATTTACAGTATAATATTTCCAAAGAATATGTTTTTAACAATTAATAATTTATTGTTTTTTGAGCTTGATCACAATTTTGGTTATTTATTATAATCCTATATATAATTTTTAAATAGTTTTACAAGTATTTCAAAATATAAAGAGTTTGAAAATGTTAGAGTTTAAGAATTTCTTTCTTCCGTAAAGAAAGGATGATATCAGTGAAGAGTATTTTCTATATAATTTCCATTAATTATAAGTTGGCAGGCATGCTAAATATACGTAGTAATTATCTTAATCTAAGTTCTTGTGGCATTAAAATTCATGCACATATTATTAATTCAAATCCAGCAAAGAATCTTATACCTCTCTATGATAAAATGTAACAAACATGTTGCAAAGAATATTAACATCCTATCATGTATTCATGATAAGTGATACAATTTTAATAAAAATAGACTATTTCATGACCAGATGGTGCATCGATCAAGTAGTCTAATAAATTACAACAAAAACATATAAATAGACCCGTTACCCTCCACTCGTGGACCAAAAAATCGCAAAAAATGGTGCATCGGTTTTGCTTTTTACGTTGCATTCGAATTCGGGGGTCGAGGCACGTAGTATCGAAATGGCGTTTTATGTATAATTTGGCTTTACACGCTATATTCAAATGCAAGGTATCTATATATTTGTTCGGAGCATCAATATCAACCAGTCATATTATTATTATATCAATATTTTTTATTTTATTTGTTGCAAAAAAATTATTTATTTGTTTAAAAAAAAATTACAACATACAAAGGGAAATTGTTCACGAATTTAATGATTTAGTAAAAAGATTCTTTGCAAAGAAGAACCCTCATGCGAATTAAAAGTTATTTACAAATTTCGATTGTTAGAAAAATCAACCAAACTTTTTTTTCCTAATAAAAAAAAAAATCTTTTTGTCCTCATGTTTATTTATTTATCCTATATTAAAGATCAATGTGTCAATTGGGGGTTTCAAGTCTATCGCCATATAGGAATAATCTTCATGCAAACATCAAAAGTTATTTCCGAATTGATTGTTAAAAAAATCAACAAATCTTTTTTTCTTAAAGAAAATCTTTGCAAAGATTAATTTTATTATATAGCAACTAAAAATAAATTTGCCGAAAGGAATTAAAAATAAAAATTTTTCCTATCCGGATCAATCAAAAGAATTTAATGTAAAATAGTTCCTTTAATCCTGATCTCGCGACCTGAAAATATACTGACACTAAAGCTCCAAGGTAAGGCCATAAGTTTTTGGTCGTTTTGAACGGTCCGAAGGGCAGGGCAAGACGAAAACCTAACTGTAGACAACGATAGACATCGAGAAAAAAATCTAAAGCGAAACACAATTTCCTTTTAGTCAAGTATTTGCTTTTCTCAACCTGACATTTTGAACAAAAACAGATAAAATAGATAAATTTTTCGGTTGTCAAATAGATGGCAATGGGAATTTGCGTTATGCGGCAATATAAAAATAACCACAACCATTTATCATTTTCTGAAAATGAAAATATTTTTGTTCAAATTTCAATTTTAATTTTAACAAATTGATTTCAGATCTCATCCATATCTACATTTAGAAAGTAACCGTAACACGGCAACCTTTCTATTCCCCAAAAAAAAAAAAATCTCAACTCTATTCATTAAAATACCAAGTAAATTTTATATTTTATATTATATAATGTCACATGCTAAACTATTATCATCGCTATCACAAGAAAGAAAGGAATTTGTAGTTAAAATTTATGGTGAAATACATAATAATGCAATGGTTAATTTTGATAGAGAAAGTAGAAAAGATTATTTTTTTTCATTGGTCAAACAAAACAAGGAGCTTTCTGAAAATGAAAAAGAATATTGTAAAGAAAAGTTTATTTATGAGTTTGAATTAAAAAATGCAATATATAAATTGGGCAAACCAAAAGAATGTAACGAGTGTAAATTAACAAGATACTCTGATAGGTTCTGTGAAGGTTGTATTAGTTTACAATTACAGAGCACCACTTGGACATCTGGAAATAACATAATTGATGATTTTATTCAACAATGTCAAATGAAATCATCTCTGCCAAACTATATTTTAGAATGGATACCTTTTGAGCAATTTGAAGAAATAACAAAATTGACTGAAGGTGGATTTAGTTCAATTTATACTGCTAAATGGACAAGAGGAAAAATAACTGATTATGACGAAAATAAAAAGGAATTTAGTTATTTTGGAATGCAAGCAGTAGTATTAAAAAGTTTAAATGATTCAATTAATCCAGGAAAAGGCTTTTTTGATGAGGTTGGTATTTGTTATTTAAAACAATACTGTATTATATAATACTAATTGATTTTATTTATTTTCAGGCAGTGAATTATTGTAAAATTAAATCATCATCAATTGTTAAGTGCTTTGGTATAACTAAATTTCCAGATAATGGAAATTATGCAATTGTTTTAAATTATCATTCAGAAGGAAATTTAAGGGATTATTTACAAAAAAATCATTTAAATTTAACATTAAAAGACAGAATTACAATCTTTTATTATTTATGTATTGCATTATATCGTATACATGAAAAAGATTTAATCCATTGTGATTTACATAGTGGTAATATACTTATGGAAGGAGGTAAATGTTTTATTACAGATTTTGGATTATGTGGACCAGTTGATGAAAAGTCATCAAATAAAGTCTATGGAATTATATCATATGTTGCACCTGAGCTACTTAGAGGCAAAATTAATACAAAGAACACCAAAGAAACTGATATCTATAGTGTTGGGATGTTAATGTGGGAAATATTTGCAGGACATCCACCATTTGATGATAGAGCTCACAATCATTGTTT